AACTAACAATTTTCCCCTTTTTTCAAATTTGTTTTTCAATTTTTAGGCTTTACAAATGCATCCCCTTTTGATTTTTTTTTTCACAAATGAATTTTTAATTTAAAAAAAAAGACTTACTGTTATGCAATACTTTAATAATTGTATGGGAAAAAATACACCACTTTGTGAAAAAAGTATATCAGACCCCCCCAACGGTGTGAAAATTTGGGGTAGGGTTTATTTTTTTTACTTTCTTGCAAAACGGCAAAAAAATTTTAAAATTTATTTCTATTTTGAGCTCAGTTTCAACCCTTTTTCCCGAAAATAAAACCAATTTAAAATCATCTCTATCCTGTAATATAATTTTTACAATTTTATCATATGGACCAAAAAAATCGCAAATTTCAACTATAAAAAAAAATTCGAAAAAAAAACTGCAAAAATCGTTTTTTTTTTTTCAAAAATTAGGTTTTCGTTTTTTTTTTTCTCATTATGCACTGTGTGCTGCAGGATTTTAAAAAAAGTGGTGCACACATACCCCCAAAAAAAAGTATCTCTAAAATTAGGCCCCAAAATTTTCCGCCCACAAACTTATCAGAGTGAGCTGAGCTCATGGCGTAGATCTACGGTTTGGACCCTCAACGTATACCATAGAAACTAAGGCGGGGCTCTCAAAGGGGTTTAAAATGCAGGCCTTGAAATTTTCCCTTTCCCGGGTTTTTTTTTAATCCTTTAATTAAATTTTTTCCCTGCTCACCTCCAATAGCTTTAAAGGGCCAAAAAAAAATTCATCTCCAATTTACCCTAACAAACACATTCCCCACAGGGTTTGGGGGGAAGTCCCAACCCCCGCCCCCAAAAACCCCCCCTTTTACCCTCCCCCTCCCAAACCCTTTCAAGGACGACCCCTTTTCCCCCCCTTCCTTCCCCCACGATTTTTAAAACTTCCCCAAATCATTCTACTTTGATCCATTTTCCCCCTAAATGACTAAAACCCCCTCAACAACCCCCCTTCAGCCCTCGACTAATTTCTTTTAGTAAAATTTCCAATTTCCTCCTCCTAATTTCCACACTCCGAATCTCTGCATAATATTTTTCAACCCCACATTCCATTAGACAGGAAAATTTTTCCCTGCCCCCCACTGCCCCCTTCGCTGCAGCATTTACAAACCCCAAATTTTTACACCCAAAAAAGTGTTTTGGGACACTATACTTTTTTACATTCCCTTTTTGACTCCATAGATAATGTTTTGTTTTCCCCCCAGGTACTTTAATGCCCCACCACCTTTTTCTTTCATCATTTCTATGGTTACCTCATCCTTCAAAAAACTCCATTCGCTGACAAAACAACTCCCAAATATCTGAAAACTTCACTTTTTCCATACTCCCTCCCCTCCCCAAACCTTTATATCCAATTTTTCCCTTTTTCTAAAATTTTTTGTACCCTCATCACCCCTTTCTCTTTTCTATGCTCACTTTTTATTTTCTACCTTAAAACACTCTCCCAAAATCGTCCACTAACCTTTGCAAAATTTTTCTTTAGAATTCCCAAAAGGGGGGCAATATCATGGGAAAAAAATAAAATGTGTCAACTCCCATTTTGTTTCTTTATTTTCCCCCAAAAATTTAAAACCCACCCTTCTCCCCCAAAACCCTAGCATTTTCTTCTTTTTACAACCCCATCTATAAATATATTAAAAAAACCCTGGGGGACATTACACATCCCTTTTCTAAGACCTACTTTTACTGGGGGAAATAGTCCCCCCTCTCTTCCCAAAACCCCCCTAACCTGAGTTTACTATCCTCATAAAAAACTCTTTACGCATTTTTGTAAAATTATACCTAATTCCCTTTAAAATTGTAACAACGCCCCATTGGGTCCCCTATCCACTCCCCCTTTTATGTGTTTTTTTAAATCCATAAAGCAATGAAAACCCTTTCCCCACCTTTATTTTAAATAAATTTTCCCATGTATTTTAATGTAAATACTTTAAACTACACATCCCCTACCCACCTTTAAAAACCCCCTTGCTCATCTGCAAACCTACATTTTGTCTTTTCCTAATTCTTTCAATAATAACCCTACCCTACAATTTACCTGGCATATTAAGTAAACTTATTCCTCTATAATTTTTACAATCTCTTTTGTCCCCTTTCCATTTATATAAGGAAACTATACACACTCTCTGCCAATCCCTAGGTACCTTCCCCTCTTTCATACATTTATTAAACAAAAACACCAACCACTCCAACAGAATATTCCCATCTGCTTTTAACATTTCTGTCATGATCCCATCAGTTCCAGCTGCTTTACCCCCTTTCATTCTACATAATGCCTCATGCACCTCCCCACACTCACATCCTGCTATTCTTCACTCCTAAATGATGTTATACCTCCCTGGCCAGTACATGAAATTACTGCCTCCCTTTCTTCATCAACATTTAAAAGTTCCACAAAATATTCCCACCATCTACCCAATACCTCCCTCTCCCCATCTACTAACTCCCCTACTCTGTTTTTAACTGACAAATCCATTCATTCCCTAGGCTTTCTTGTTTATCTCACTCCAATTTTTTTTCTTATTTTCAGCAAAATTTCTTGACAGTGCCTCTCCCACTCTTTCATCTGCTCTACTTTTGCACTCTCTCACCACTCTCTTCATCTTTCTTTTATTCTCCATATACTCTGCTCTTCTTACAACACTTCTGCTTTGTAAAAACCTCTCATAAGCTACCTTTTTTCTCTTTATAACATCCTTTACTTCATCATTCCATCAATCACTCTTCTTTCCTCCTGCACCCACCTTCCTATACCTACAAACTACTGCCCCACATTCTAAAACTGCATTTTTAAAACTATCTCAACCCTCTTCAACCCCCCACCCCCACTACTCATACATGCATTAGCCCACCTTTCTGCCAAAAGTTGCTTATATCTCACTCTAACTTCCTCATCCCTCAGTTTATACACTTTCATCTCTCTCTTACTTGCTGTTGCCATTTTCCTCTTTTCCCATCTACCTCTTACTCTAACTGTAGCTACAACTAAATAATGATCCAATATATCTGTTGACCCTCCATAAACATGTACATCCTGAAGCCTACCCATCAATACATAATCTAACAAACAAACAAACCCTTTAAAACTCAAACCATTAAACCTGATTTTCCTTATAAAATGACTACTACATGGCAATTCATTCAAATCTTTTGGTCAACACTGTAGTTTGACAAACTTAACAATAGCAATTTTAAGTGCAAAAAGCTATGACAACACAACAATAAGAAATTCAGGGTAAAAGATATAATGCAAATGTACTGGTAGGTAATGGCTGTTTTTGCCAAAATGCTTTTAAAACTTTGCATATAAACACAGCTTTAAATAAGCACATTACAAAACATCCTTCCCAGGAAAGGAGTGGTAGCTCAAGTGATGTTCACATGTAATGTGGATCAGGCATGGGGTGTATGTTGGATGTGGTCATCAGGGTTGAATCCAATCTGTGGATCACCCAGGGCATAGTAGTAGTAGTGGAAGTGGCAGTAGTACAAGTCCACGCCCCTCACCTGCAAAACCTCCTTTACCCCCTCCCTCCAACCTTTTCGGGGACAACCCCTACCCCACCTTCCTTCCCCAACAGTTTTATATGCTCTCCAAGTCATTCTACTTTGTTTCATTCTCTCTAAATGACCAAACTACTTCAACAGCCCCTCTTCAGCCCTCTGACCAATACTTTTAGTAACTCCACACCTCTTCCTAATTTCCACACTATGAATTCTCTGCATAATATTTACACCACACATTGCCCTTAGACAGGACATCTCCACTGCCTCCAGCCACCTCCTCGCTAAAGCATTTACAACCCATGTTTCACACCCATATAAGAGTGTTGGTACCACTATACAGTGGAACCTCGGTATACAACCAGCTTCCTACTCAAACAAAGCTTAGCACTCGATCAAACAAATATGACCTGCCAGAACGTCGCTGTAAACTATTTCGTGTTTCTTCGCATTTTTTTGGTGTTTTTTGTATTATTTGTATAAGTAAGTCACCATGAATGTTGCAGTGAGGAGAAGGCTGGAGGCAGTGGAGATGTCATGTCTGAGGGCAATGTGTGGTGTGAATATAATGCAGAGAATTCGTAGTTTGGAAGTTAGGAGGAGGTGCGGGATTACCAAAACTGTTGTCCAGAGGGCTGAGGAAGGGTTGTTGAGGTGGTTCGGACATGTAGAGAGAATGGAGCGAAACAGAATGACTTCAAGAGTGTATCAGTCTGTAGTGGAAGGAAGGCGGGGTAGGGGTCGGCCTAGGAAAGGTTGGAGGGAGGGGGTAAAGGAGGTTTTGTGTGCGAGGGGCTTGGACTTCCAGCAGGCATGTGTGAGCGTGTTTGATAGGAGTGAATGGAGACAAATGGTTTTTAATACTTGACGTGCTGTTGGAGTGTGAGCAAAGTAACATTTATGAAGGGATTCAGGGAAACCGGCAGGCCGGACTTGCTGGTTTCTTTTTCTGTCTCATAAACACGCTAGATAACAGGGATATCTTGCTACTCCTACTTACACTTTGGTCGCACTTCACAGACACGCACATGCATATATATATACATACATCTAGGTTTTTTCTAGGTAGTAGGTTGGTAGACAGCAACCGCCCAGGGAGGTACTACCATCCTGCCAAGTGAGTGTAAAACTGAAGCCTGTAATTGTTTTACACGATGGTAAGATTGCTGGTGTCTTTTTTTTATCTGTCTCATACACATGCAAGATTTCAGGTATGTCTTGCTACCTCTACTTACACTTAGGTCACACTACATAACCTTATTCTTATCTATGTTCACTTTCAACTTTCTACCTTCACACACCCTCCCAAACTCATCCACTAACCTTTGAAACTTTTCTTTAGAATCCCCCAAAAGCACAGTATCATCAGCAAGAAGTAACTGTGTCAACTCCCATTTTGTATTTGATTTCCCAGAATTTAATGGCCGATATGTTAATAAAAAAAAATATGTACTTGCCTTACTGATGCAACGCCTGTTGTTACACCTGAATTCATTATCTCCACAATCTTCTGGTGGAGGACAATACAACATTGTAGAATTTTCATCAGCACCATCAACACAGTCTGGGTCACCATCACACACCCATTTCTTGGGAATACACATTGCACGTCCCCATTGTTTATTAGCATTGCAAGTAAATTCGTTTTTTTCGCACCCCTTTGGGTTTGTTGAAAAAAACAATGAAAAAAAAACACTTTTATAATAGTAACTGAAAAATAAACAAAAATTTATGAAAATTAATGGATAGAGTAATATATATTTTAAATATAAAGTTGGGCAAATTTTAAAAATTTAAAAAACAATGTTAGAAAAAGAAAATTTTTCTACTACATTAGGCTTTTATTTGTATTAAAGCACTAAAAATTGAAGAGTACTGAAAAAATTTTGTCAGTTAAAGGTATCTTCCAGCAGTTTAACCTTATTTCCCCTTATTTCACTTTTGCCCTTCTTTCATCGAAACCCCCAAAAAAATCATTACCCCATTTTCCGATGTAGATCTTTGGACACAGTTGCCCCTTGTCACGGTAAAAGGTCTCCAAAACATGTGCGGCCCTCTTGCTCACAGTTTTTTCTTTCAGGTTCATCAGCCCCCAATCCCCAACTTCATCTCCCATCACATTTCCCAAAGGTCCCAGGAATAAAACCGATGTTTTGGGACTTTCTAAACAAACTTAATAAAGTGTTTTTAAAAACAAAAATTAAATTACAGTAAATTAAAAATTTTTCCCATTTTTGCATCATTCAGTTTTTTTTATAGTACTACATGCACCTCTGAATTACCTTTCACTACTAGCCCCCAAAAATTTTCTCAAATATTCCCAGTGCAAGTTTATGAAATTTTGAAAATATAGGGCAAACAGTTTTTTAAAAACAATACTCGTTTTTTCCCTATATTTAACCTGAAGTTTAATTGGGTTTGGGGCAGGGATCTTTCAAACAGGAAGTGAAATTCTCTTCAAAAGTTATCCCCACAGTCATTTCCCCATCAAAAACCAATTTTGGTTTCCCAACACGATGGTGGTATTCTCCACTTCAGAGGTTTTTGGGGGACAGTAACTTCGGGGACATCGTTAAACTTTTTTTCACAGAGGTGTGCTTTTCTTTGCGGTCTTTAAACCACCTTTCCCTTTGCTAAAAAATATAAAAAGTTAAACTTATGAGTCTTCACATTTTATTTATACTAATAGTTTAATTTAAAAAAACCCTACCCACAGTATGTAAGTAAACCCTTCTTGCAAGCCCTTTTTTGGTGGGCAAAATCTTTGACCCCCCTTGCCCCCTGTTGATCCATTTTACGCCCCTCGCCAAATGAAAGTCCAGGGTCCCATCCTTTTGTGAATGGTCCAAATTATCAAGCTTAAAAGCCAATGCCAGCTTCTCTTCTCAGCTTTGTATTAATTTCTATCTTTTTGAAACTGGATTTTGGGCTCTTTTCATGATGAGCTCCAAATTTATAAAACTTCCCTTTTCTTAATACCTTAACTGTCCAAACCAGATCTAATTTTTTCCCCTAGCCCCCAAAATAGTTTCTAGTTTTTTTTTTTCCGGCCTTCAAATTTGGTGCGTTTGGCCTGAGCAACCTGGGCATTAGAGTTTGGGGTGCCCCCTCAGTTTTGAAACTGTAGGGAAAAAAATTCGGGGGACGCATTTTCCAACATGGGGGGCCCCGGGGTTTTTTTTGCTCCACCCTAGGTAAAACCATGGCCAAACCCCTCAGGATTCCCCAACGTTTGGCATTTTTAACCTTCTTATTCAAAGGGAAATAAATTGATATAGAATTTTCAGTTTAGTGGATTTCCCCCCCCCCCCCCCGATGGGGCCCATGAATGATAAAAGGAATTAGTGAAAATTTTGGGCCCGAAAAAACCGATGCCCCTCAGCCCATCCCCCTCTGGGGTGGCCAGTGGGGCCCCCACAAGACCCCAGCAAGCTCTCTGGTGTGGCCAATGGGGGCCTTCCCGGGATCACAGCGAGCCCCTCTGGGGTCGCCAGGTTACAACAAAGAGGCAAACTACGCAAGGGGAAAATTTTTTCATATTCTGTAAATTTTTGGGTTTAAAAATTTGAGAGTGAAAGTGATATAAGTGTTTCGGGGATTGATTTTATGGCCTTGTAAAATTTTAAAGGATAGTGTATACATTTTTCTCAGTAAAGCTATTTTTAAAGGCATCTTGTTCTTTCAGGTGTGTGCGATATGCAGTGCCAAAGGGGGTCATGGGAGGTCATGACAAAAAAACCCCCAGCAACTGATGTGTTTAGTGATCATAAAAGAGGGAATATGCAGGCATGGAGGTTAATGTGGGGTTGGGGGGATGGTGCCGGGGGCCAGGGTGGGTATTGGGGGGAAAGAAAAAGGGGCGCCCGGAAACCCCTCGGGCCTTGTGCTGCCTCAACCCCATCATTTTTTCCTGCTCCCCACCCCCCATGCCTGAGCCAACCGGCACCTTGTGACCGTGGTGGAACTGGGCACAAAGTAAAAATTTTTGTGCCAAAACCGTTCGATTTTGATGCCGGGTGGAAGGGGGCATCCTCCCAGAATGCCCCCTCACGAAAAAAATTACAGATTTTGATTTTTTCCCAAACTTATTTGGGGATGGGCCCGTTTAATGAACTCGTTTGTCATCCCAAACAAAATTAAAAAAAGGGATTAAAAAAAAAGGTTTTTGCGGGGAAAATTCATTATGGCTGCATAGTTGGAAAAAATTTCAACTTTTGGCCAAAATGTTTTTAACCCTTTGGGCACTGTCAGGGTTTATGCCTCATTACGTATAAGAAAAATAGGTATTACTGGTCCAAAGATTTACTTCAGCATTTATCCTGTTTCCCTTGACCCCCTTCCCTGAAAAAGGGATTCACTCTGTTGCTCCGAAAGTTGCACTTCTCGGACGGGAATGGGCCCCCAACAGAAATGCCTTTTTAAAAAAACCGGGAAAATGTTTATGTATCTGAAGCAGAGATTCAGTCCCTTTTTTTTTCCCATTCAATAACAGGGTTTGTCGACAAGCCCTTGATGTTGTTAAAGGGTTTGGGGGGGTCTTAAGCAATATATCCCCAACCCAAATGAAAATTGCTTTGGTAAAAAAACTTTTGTTTTTGTATGCAGTGAGAGGGGTTTTTTTTGTTGGATGTCACTGTATACTTGGGGAGAAACACACCCCGATGATGACAGAAGGATTTTGGGGCTTTTTCCGGGGGTGTTTTTGGTTGCAGGATAATGGAACCAACCTTGGCAAGGGTCTACATTGTACAAGACAACCTGGAAATAAAACCCCTATGCTCGCTGTTTTTCCTGGGGTGAGAAAATACTGATATATGTGGAAAGTGAAAAGGGAATAGAAAACTTCCAAAAGTTCAGTGGGGAGTGTTGAAGGTGCATTTGAAAAGTTTTTCATGCTAAGGGACTCTTGGCACGGGACATGGCTGACAAAGGGAAATGGGGACTTGCTTTTGAAGCTTTGCACAAAAACAAGGGGGTACAAACAGCCCAAAGTGAAAGGGATCCCAATGAACACATTGCAAAGCCAGCTGCTGTTTTTGGTTTTATACGAACTTTATGGCCCTATTGACAAGTGTGACATGATGATAGGGTTCATTGACTGTGTGTGTAGGAGCCCAAAAAGTGGTATACAAAAGTGTTTTCCACCTGTGACTTTTGCAATGTCAATGCCTTCAATATGTACGAGATTAAAGGGACTGGGGAAAACAAATTTATTATGGGGGAAAATTTTCGCCTAAATTTTCATAAAAAAAAGGAATACCCAAAAAAAGTATGGTAAAACACTTTTACCTGCCCCTCAACAGCGCCCTTTGTCAAACCAAAACTTTTTTCCCCAAAAACCAAAACCCAGAGGGATAAGGCCGACCAAACCTTGCAAAATTTGTCATACCGGGTTCCCAAATTAAGCCTCCCACAATAAAGAAGTTTTTCTCAAAAAAATTTTTGTGCTGTGTGTGCTACCCTTCAGGGGCAACCCCAACAGCGGGAAGGGAAAAAAAATTCCTGTGTTAGCAATGGGGGGTGGCACTCTGTAAAAATCTGCTTCAAGGAGTATATAAAATTCCTGGAGTATAGAAAATAACGGGGAAATGAAAGTACTTGATATAAAGTAGGTAATAAAATATGTTTAAAAAACCAGGTTTTAAAATTATACCTTTTAAGGGGTTGTACAAGTGTGTTTGTGATAATAAGATAAATAATTTTGTACATAATATTTTTTCATAATTGTAGTGGGTTTTTGGTAGACAGCAACCACCCGGGGAGGTACTCCCATCCTCCCCAATGTGAGTGTAAAACAAAAGCCTGTAATTTTTAACATAAAGGTGGATTGCTGGTTTTTCTTTTGTCTGTTTTCTTTAAATATGCAAGATTCAGGCATGTCTTGCTATTTTCTACTTAGTTAGGGTCCCCATCACATACTGTACATGTTTATTTTTTACACATCATCTGATTTTTTCTTTGATTTTATTTTTAAACAGTTTTTGGGGCCTTAAAATTTTTTCCTTTTATATCCATGGGGAAAGTGGAATAAAAAATTTTCCTCCTTTAAGCCATCCCGTTTTTGAAAAAAGGCTCAGGGAGTTTTGACCCCAGTGAGCCCATCTATCTTCACTCTTTTCATGCAAGAGGGCCACATGTCTATGGTGCACCCAAACAAAATAAGCAGACTTTTGGGATGTAAATACTGCCCGGCTCCGGCTGGGTTAAAAGTATCTTTGGCGGGGTTAAATCACCCCACCAGATGTAGCCCAAACAAAAATGAAAACCCTTTGCCTGATGGATATTGTCACACCCTGCATCTTTATGTACGGGGAGTGTGATAAAATTTAAAGGGAATTAGAAAAAATCATCAGAAATGTTAAAAAAAATTTGGAAAGTATTTTATCCAATTTGGTTTTTGAACATTCGGAGAAATACCCGACTTTGCTAGCTGAAAAAAAGAAAATTTACCAATGGTGAATGTGTTTTGTTTTGTGTGTGTGTGTGTGTGTGTGTGTGTGTTGTGTGTGTGTGTGTGTGTGTGTGTGTGTGTGTGTGTGTGTGTGTTTGTGTGTGTGGCATGTGTGCTTTGGTGGGGTGTGCATTCCCTGGGTGAGATTGCAGGGGTCGAGCCCCAAGCTCCTGGTATTTCCCTGGAGAGGGCCCCCGGGGGTCAACG